ACTTGGAGAAGCTACTTTGTCCCGGGAGCCGCGCGGGGGGTTCGGGGCACTGCGCATGCGGAGCTCCAAATTCAAACAGCTGTTTCCAGAGGCTGGAGGGCGGGTGGACCGGGAGCCACTGGGGCTAGGAGACGCATTGGCCCGGAGGTGGCCTCTCGGGAGCCATGGTGGACCGGGGCCCTCTGCTCACCTCGGCCATCATCTTTTACTTGGCTATCGGGGCAGCGATCTTCGAGGTGCTGGAGGAGCCGCACTGGAAGGAGGCTAAGAAAAAGTACTACACGGAGAAGCTGCATCTACTCACCAAGTTCCCGTGCCTGGGCCAGGAGGGCCTGGACGAGATCTTGCAGGTGAGGCGCCGCGTTGCCCCTACGAACACCTGACGCTGGCTCGAGCTCTGGGAGTGTGGCGGGGGCGCCCCTCGCAGCTTTGGGTGACCCTCGCCCCGGTGGGTTGTCCTGGGGGAGACGGGAGGGGTGTCTCCTGGATGTGGTTGCCGGGATCTTTCGTTCACCCGTGGACACAAGAGTCACCTTGGGACCCAGTTTGTGCAGAGAATTTAGGGTTGACCTCCGGGTGAACCGGGCCCCGCGGTGGCTCGCTGTGGGTGTGCGGGTCCCTCCCTCCTTGGAGGGGGGCTGTGGGGCGGAGGAAGGCGTTTATCTTTGCTTGGAGACGCTCCCGGAGTGCGGGAGCCCAGCCGGTTGTCACCCGCCCAGCGTCTGCGCCTCCCATCTCCGGGGCCAGCGCCGCTCCCGCACGACTGTTTTCGGGAATGGGAGCCGCGCGGAGTTGCTGGAGGGTCCCCAGGTCCAGCCTGAGCAAGACCCCCTTCCCCCGTCGGGCGAGGAGCGGGGTGAGGGCTCTGCCCGGCTGCGCCGCGGGGCCGGCCGGTGGCTGGAATGCTGCAGACGCGCTCGGGCTTCCGGGAGAGCTTATCTCGCCGTCTCGCCTGTCGGGAAGGCTAACTCCCCGGGCTCGCGGATCAACTTTGTGAAAGTAGTGGGCTGAGCAAAAGAACCAGACCCGGAGTCCATGGGGGGCCGGGAGGAGAGGCTGTGCCGAATGGGGGTTGGTGAGGGGAGTTTCCCGCCCCGGTTGGCATTGGGAGTTTCTTCTGGTTCATATGCCCCATGAGGGCATTGACCTCGCTGGGCTAAACCGGCCCTTGGCCAGGACTCGAGGCCCAATACTCAGTTTCCTGAAGACCCTTGGCCTTACCTGTCCAGCGGGGACCTGCACGGATGGCACCCTGCAGGGGATGACCCGGACCTGAGTGGGAGCCGTGGAGCAGGGGTAGTGGATGGAAGATGTTACCTTTCTCCTGGGGTGAAAGATACCATAAAGGAGGTTGGACGAGGAGCAACATTCAATCTACAGCAGCCCCCCACCCCCACCCCATGCTTTGTGCCTGTCTGGTTGTCTCATTCTTCTGGCCTCAGTTTCCCGTATGTAAAATGGGAACAAACCCGTCGTCATCCATCTTTCCTGCCCTGAACTGTTGGAAGGTTGAAAGCATTGGAAAACACGAAGCCATCTGCTTGTGGCTCCCTTTTTGTCCCCAAATCAGTAGACATTCGAAGATGAGCATGTCGGTGCCTGCTGGCAGCCAGACCGACTAGCAGACTGGGGACCACTGCAAGGGGGAGGCTGAGTCAGCAGGTTGGGTGTGTGTTTTCAGTGGGGAAATTTCCCGGGGTGGGGGCTGGTGGGAGGTGAGGTTGGAGGACGGTGAGCTTCAGGAGGTAGCTGGTACTAGCGGGTGTCCCGGGGCCGTGCGGGTTCCTTTGCCTGGGTGTTTGCCCTGGGTGCGTGGGTTGGGGAAGGGTCACTTTATAATTTCCCCTGAGGAAACAATTCTGTTGTTTAGTTTCTTCCAGGGCTTTGTTTAGAGGGGAAGAAGGCAGGCGAGTATGATAGTAAAGAACCGAGCTGCCCTCGAAGTTTCCTTCTTCGCCGCTCCTCCACCAACCACTGCAGGAAGGAAAGAATTCAAGGCTGAATGTGGGAAAATAAACTTCAAAACACGAGGAGAAGGGAAAAGAGGGGGGTCGGGGTGAGGCAGCCGGGTGCAGCTGGTGGTAGGAGCTTTGGAGTGTCGACAGCTTTCTTAAGGTGTTTGAGCAAACAATATGTTTCTTAATTTGAGGTCCTGTTAAACCCCACCCCCACCCCCAAGAAAGCAGGTAACTGTTAGAAAAAGGATTTGGGCGTCAGGCCAGTGTGATTTGGAGATAATTACGGATAGCCCTGTCCCCATCTGCAGCCAAAAAACTCTCAAACTATCTCCAACTGGGCGAGTCTCCTCCCTTCGTAGGAAAAATCCAAGAAATGAAAACCAGTGGAAGCATTTTGTTAGCGTTACTTTTTTTGTTTCCAGAAGTCTGCCAGGCTCGGCTTTCTGATGCGACTTGGGGCATTGCCCTGGGCCTCAGGAAATTGGTTGAAGGAAAAATGAAAACTCCGAAATCTTTCCAAAGGGGTTGTTGGGGCATTTTCCACCTGAGGTTCTGAATCACCTTTGTAATTCTAAGGAAGCCCTGGCTAGGAATTCCTGGGGTGGGGGCAGGCTCCTGGGAGGGGTGGAGGGAAGCGTGTGGGGGCAGTGCCGTCTGGGTTGGGGTTTTTCCTCACATTGGAAACTGTGCTTTCAAATCCGTGAGAAAGGGAGTTGACACACCTTTCTCTAGATCTTTGGAAATAGTCCCCGAGTTGTCAGGTGCTTCCTTCCTGTTCAGGCTGTGGTTGAACGGAGGCGGAGGTGGACTTGCAGATGCTCTGCACACCCCCAGCCTTGGGCCACGTGGCCGCCCTCCTTCCTGCTTCAGAGCCATCTTGACCCTCTGCTGTGATGCTTGCTGCACCAGGCATCGGGCGAACTCTGTCCCCCAGCCTTTCCCTCAATTGCAGAGGTTCCCACGAGGGGAATGAGCACAGACTGAGCCCCTGGTGCACATTGTGGGTAGCATCAGCATTTGATGAGAGGGCACAGTCTGGTTTTGCCATCTGGCTTGGCCATTTACCCATCAAGCCATTTAAGTTCCTCATCTGCAACATGAGGACTGGTCAGGGTCAAGTCAAGTAGAAGCATGCGGCCAGATGTGTGCAGATGTAACGTAGGAGAGCGAGCTCATCGCCCTGTCACTTGCGCGTATGGAGCGCTGACCAAGGCTACTTGCCAAGTGCGTTCCCTGTACCAGGTCAGGGACTCCTTACAGCCGCCTTGCCTATTTAGATAAGGACACCTTAGCTCAGGGAAGTTAAAGTGGCTTTGGTGACACAGCAAGAAGGCACAGCCTGGGGTGGGGACCAGCTGTCTGCCTCCTGGTGCACCCCTGCCCCCCATCTTGGGCATGTGACACGGTTGAGTGGTTGGTCTGTAAGTGAGTTTAGTAAATTGGTTCAGCTGGACTCTGGTGTGCTGGGAAATTCTATTTTCTCTTCCCCCAAGAACAGGCACCTGCGCGCAGGCTTCTCCGAGCTCTGCCTGTTCAGCTGCCTCCTCCTCCATTACTGACGGGAGCGCCAGTCCGCAGTGCCCCACACCCCACTCCCACGAAACCGCTGAGGATTGGGGTAAAGGGGGAGAATGAACCCTTCTCAGCCTTCACCTCCGGTGTACAGTGATCACAAACAGGAAGGATTTGAGAGCTCACCAACCGCCAGGGCTTTGAGCACTTCATGTACAGTCTTATTTTAATCTAATCCTGGTGACCACCCCCCCTTTTATAGAGGAGGACAATGAGGCAAAAAAAAAAAAAATTTATATAACTTGCCCAGGATCATAGAGTGCAAACTCAGAAAGTGTGTTGTATTCCAAAGTGCACGGGAATTAGGCTGAGGATTGGGGTAAAGGGGGAGAATGAACCCTTCTCAGCCTTCACCTCCGGTGTACAGTGATCACAAACAGGAAGGATTTGAGAGCTCACCAACCGCCAGGGCTTTGAGCACTTCATGTACAGTCTTATTTTTAATCTAATCCTGGTGACCACCCCCCTTTTATAGAGGAGGACAATGAGGCAAAAAAAAAAAAAAATTATATAACTTGCCCAGGATCATAGAGTGCAAACTCAGAAAGTGTGTTGTATTCCAAAGTGCACGGGAATTAGTCAACAAGCATTTATTAAGCACCCACTGTGTTCCAGACAGTGAGTAAGGTGCTAGGAGTCCAAAGGTGAATTAAATCACTGCTTGAGCTGGAGATAAGAATGAGTAAACGCACCACGACTTAGCGCAGAGATGTTCAGGAAGGACTCTTATAGAGGGCCCCTCGTCCAGCCTGAGGGGTCAGGGAGGGCTCCCGGAGGAGGTGACCTCAAGCCAGAGTGGGGTCTTAGAATTAGGGGGGCTTAGAAGGGGTAAGAGGGTTTGGGCTGTGGCTCTTGAGATTCCCAAGTTTCCTGGGGTGTAGTAGGGGTCACCCCAGGCCCTGCCCTCCACTGGGGCCCTCCATCCCTGACTCTGGGTTTTCCTAGATTGCTCATATAGATGCCCAGTTCCCAGAAGGCTCTTGGATTTTGCTGGCCTCCTTGCTGCTAAGCTGCAAACTGCATTATTCTATTGGGAGGTTTTCCATGTGTCCCAGACCTCTCCTTTTATTTTCTAAACCCTTCCTACTCTATCCATGCTCCAGTCTACAGTAGTGAGGCCCATTCCAATTTTGAGGTTCTGACATCCTGTTATTAACACCAACCCTCCTCCTAAAATGTGAAAAATACAGCTATGCAGTAAAATTACATCCCACCAAAATGCTCAGAATGGGGCACATTCATTGAATTTTTTGGGGAATTGAGGGTTAACATGAAAACCTCTTTTGTGTCAAGCCTCGTTGGAAATTGTAAAAGTGCACTGGTCCACGTAAATGCCTTTGTAAGTACAGGGAGCACAATAGATCTTTTGATTGTCCAGGATCGCAGAGGCCTCCACGTCATTGGCTCACACTTGAACTCTCACCTTCTAGGACTGAGAAATGAAAAGAGGAGAAGCTGGGTTTGGGAGAGGGAATGGAAGAAAAGGGTCCCTTTTCTAAAGGCTCGTTTTCTTATTAAGGTTTTGCTCAAAGGCCAGGCAGCCACACACACACAAAAAAAATTTCTCAAATTGATAAATCTGCCTTAGTTAACTGCTTTAGTTAGAGTTTTAACAGTAAAGTGAATTTTTATTGAATCGTTTTGAGAATTTTATTAGACCCCTCAGGACCATTAAAGGTGGCATGGTAATAGAGACTCATTGAGGGTAGAAATTAGCAAGTGTTGAAATGTTTGCGTGGGGGTGGGGACTTCCTATAGGAGGGGTCCCAGGGAGGTGATGACTGTGGCTTCTAAGTGTTTTCCTGGGGTTTTGCCATATTTATAGTCTGTCGTTTAAAAGAAACAGAATCTTCCAGTTTTGAATGCTGTGCTTGGCTGGCTCTGACCTCAGGCTTTCATCTTGAACTTGGCTGTTTGCTGTCTGATTGGGCTCAGCCTCTGAACTGGGGGGGGGGGGGGGGGGGGGTACGGGGGATATAGGGAGCAGGAAAGTACAAGGCAAGGTTTTGGGGAGCAGCAGAGGAGCTATGCTCCGGAGAAGGGTACTCCCAAGAAGGTCTTTGTACCAATTGGGCTGTTCGATCTGAGTGGTTTTACAGGAGCCAACTGGCCGGAACTGGGGTGTGTGTGTGTGTTTGTGTTTGGGGGGGGGAGGGTATGGGGGATATAGGGAGCAGGAAAGTACAAGGCAAGGGTTTGGGGAGTTGGGGAGCAGCAGAGGAGCTATGCTCCGGAGAACGGTTCTCCCAAGAAGGACTTTGTACCAATTGGGCTGTTCGATCTGAGTGGTTTTACAGGAGCCAACTGGGCGATGCAGAGGCCAGGGAGGTGGGTGTCCCCTGAGCATCCCCATGGATCAGCCCAGCACGGTGCCCTTGGCCTGCAGCCACAGGGCAGAGAGGTACGGGTCTGGGAACGAAGCTCTCTGGGCTAGCCTAGGAATTTGAACTCACCAAGTTTTTGCAATCAAGTCAGGGAGTGAACAGCATTTCAGAAAGTTCTTCACAGCCCTTTGTGACTTGAAAGGAGTGGAATATTCTACCGTGACCTAACGGTATTTCTGTGGGTTGATCCTTCGCCCCATGAGTGTGGTGATAAGAATATTACTCCCTTTCTCCGTGATGTGACTGAGTGTGGTTTTTCTACCAAAGCCCGCGGAGCTCACAGCCCTCCCCCCAAGAGCCCGCCATGCTCCCTCACACCCCAGTTTTCAGTTAGGGAGCCACTCCCTTCCCTGAGCCCCTTGGGAGGTCCAGGCGTGAGTCCCCCTCCCTGCCAAAGACACCCCTACTTGATGACCTTCCCAGACTCTGCCTAAGTGGCACTTTTATGTCCAAGTGAGGCAGTTAATCCACTCCCCAAACTTCAGAGGCCTGGGCAGCGTTAGGGATGACAGAGGAGCCCCTCACTGCCAGCTGTCACTTCTGTGTGTGCTGAAGCCTCACAAACCAGACGGGGCTTTAGCCCCAGGAGCTCAGTGTGGCGGGGAGAGAAACCGGGCTGTGGTGGTGAAAGGAGGGAAATGCGGTCCTGGTGCTGAGTGATGGGTTGCAGATGGTTGAGTCTGGAGAGACCGAGGCGGGTCAGAGGGCCTCGGAGGATTGGGTTTCTGTTTCCTGAGGCCTGTAGAACCCCTTGGCCTACTGGGGACCTGGCCCTGAAAGAAACATAACCCGTGCCCCCAGGGAGCCCCCCCCCTCAGGCAACCCCCCATCTAGAGAAAGGAAGGTCAGGAGCTGTTACCTGAAGGACATTGGTAAGTGTCCCAGAGGCTCCAAGTGTGTACCATTGAGTTACTTTCTGCTCTGGAACATAGAGGGAGGGGGACACGAGCCGTGTGAGGAGCAGCCCCTGTGAGCATTCTGCTCAGTCCCTGCTGTGTGCTAGGCACACTGTGGGTCTGGTG